GACCCTGAACCGAGCGCTATCTAAATAAGAAATTCAGGGTACCCTGCCTCGGATACAATAGTTTCTTATCCAACGCCGTCACTGTATACGGTTTAAACGAGTGCAGGATTCGACGAAACACAGGCTCCAATCCCAAAGGCCACAAGTGCTGTTGTTATGTGTGAATGCATGCAGGATCATGCCAAACGATTTCAAAGCCGTGTGGGGACTGACTTGTACATGACCTGGGAATAATGATCCGACTGCACTGGTGCAAAGATGGAAGACCCTCTTGAAAACTATGTCTGTGGCATGCAGCACTACGTTTTTTGGTCTGGAGCAATTTGAAGAAGGCTGCTATAACCTGGCATGCTCCCTGCTCGTCGCAAATTATAGACACCGGGCTCGTCTACTACTTCTAGAACTGCTCAATTAAAGCAAGGCACCCCAAAGATTAAAGAATAGCTTCTGTTGTACCCAGGTCCATGATTGCTCGTCTTTCTGTGAATGTGACCCCCTCAAATTTAAATTGCTCTGATCATAGCCGATAGGCTCGTACCCTACCCCTTTTTTGGGTACCTGGCTCTTTAGTTAGGATCTGGTATATGACAGAGCAAGACAAGGGTGGGGTATGAGCCCATAGATGCCCTGTAGCAGAGCCACCCCCAAATCCTAAACGCATGCAAGGAACACCCCGAAACCTCATGGGAACCCTAACACGAACCCAAAACACCTGTAGGAACCTTTAAAGAACCCAGCAGCCCCGACACCCCTGAACCTTTGCCGGAACCCTTAGACGGAAACCCTACAACCCTGAACCCCTAAATCTTGTAGGAACCTTCTTTGCAGAACCCAACAAACCCTCTTGCAAAACATCAGCTGCTAGCCTCGAGAACCTTTGTGCTGCATAGCGTGCGGCCATCGCAAGTCAAGAGCTCAGCAATGCCCACCTGCAACCCCTCTTTTTTACCCTGAGGCTCTAAGGATTCATATCATAATGCTTTTCGGCCTAAAGAGCACACCATATAAGGCTCTTGGGCTAGTATGAGCCTTAGACTCAATAGGTTCCTGTAAGGGATTTATTTTTCAATGCTTGAGGGTTTTCGGGTTTTGACGTTCAGGCTTGCGGGGCTGCCTGTTCAGGGGCTCCTTTACAGGTTCCTGCAAGGGGACTCTGTAAGGGCACCACAACGCTTCAGGCTTTCGAGGCTTGTTGGCTGCGCCTCCTTCTTGTCGGCCGACTTGTCCAAACTTTACATTAAAGGGGAGCTATGCGTCAAACTTTCTGATCTTGGATTGCATATGCATTTCGAGTGCCCGAAAGAGGCTAACGGCGACTTTCTCTACCACTCTGTATGGCTAGGGTTTAGGGTTCAGGCTGGTCCTGCTGCCTTGGGGCCGTTCTGCATGGTTTAGTGTTCGAGGTGGCTCGACCGTTACCAGCTCAAGCTCAGGGTAGTACCCCATTTGGGGGGTTCCTTATTATTATTCTTACTATAGTATAACCCTATTCTACTTATTAAGGTCCCTATAATATAGAGTTGTTCAAGGTTTTGGTGAGGTGGTACGAGCGATTCCGGTTCTTTCATGGCTTCAGGGTTAGGCTCGCGTTTCTTGTGCCACGGCTTTGACAGGACTTCGTGTGCAAGGCTTGGAATTTAGGGTTTAGGGGTTCAGGGGCTCAGTTCAGGGTTTCGGATTTTAGGGTTTTGGGTGGTACTCGTATTTGTGTTGCGGGTCTGGGGGTATCCGGCTGTCAGGTCCACCAGTAACCCGACATCTCTAAGGCTCCTGTGATGTGCTGGTCCTGGCATTTGGAGCAGCCACGTGCGTATTACCAAGCACATTGGTGCCATGAAACTAACTCGCATGCAGCAGGTTGCTCGCCTTCTTTTGTTTCAGCTCCTTGAGCATGCTCAGAGCCTGCTCGACTGTTTCTTGGCGGGCGCGAACCTCAGTCGCCAACTTCTCTTCCAGTGCAGGCAACGCTTCTTGAGCTCCTCCTGTCCTGGGCATCCCAAGATCCCACGCCATGCCAGCTTGCGACTGGCATTGAGCAGAAGAGTCTCTTGCACTGGGCACCGCTGGCAGTAGAGCCAGCCCCCGGTTTAGGGCGTGTAAGGCTGCCCCAAAGGGTCCAAAGTACCTATATACTAGTATGTAGGGTTTCTATTTTCTTTACCATCAATATGACTTGGGAAAGTATCCCGAAACCCTAAACCCTAAACCCATAACAACACCCAGGACCCGTTGAATTTGGGGGTTTAGGTTTAGGTTGAGGGATCCTGATAGATGCAGGCCTCCTTGGTCCGGGCTCAGAAGACACATGAGCAAAGAGAGGTTCGGGGGCTTAGGAGTCTAGTATTTGGGGTTTCGGGCTTAGGGTTAAGGGAGAAATACATTGTACAACCCCTCCGAAGCCCTAAACCCAAATCTGTCCAAAGATAGTTGACGAAACAAAGTCTGCTAGATCCGGCCCGGATCTCAATCCAAGCGAACCCAAGCCCACTCAATCAAAGGGGACCTGAACTACTGTTGGTGATACAAATCCTGCAGTACCTTAAGGACCCTAAACGATCAGACTTATGGAATATTCTTTATTATGGGTAGTGCAGGATATAAATCATTAACCGTATTTCGGAAGTAAGGGATCCTATCAGCCCTATCAGTCACCTGAGCAGCGGATCCTGAATGTAAGGACCCGTAAGTACGTCGCTGCTGCACCGAAATCGTTATCGATCAAGCAGTGTGAGCCGGTAACAGTTCCTACGAGACTCCAATGGCATTAATGTATGCAATCTAAACCCCGATGCTATAATAAAATCCGAAGTTTCCAAAGTGATTACCAGCAAAACAGAACATACTCTGGCCCCCGATATCCTGTGCTAGTACTTCACCCCTTTTTTCTAAATTGAACCTTCGACATTTGCTGCCCACGCCGCTTTCAGCTGCCTTTGCGCCGACAGCCGCAGCTCGTTGACGCTGTCGTTCAAAGACGCCTGCGCCATGATGTTCAGACCATGTAATTTGGCTAGGGCTACGACGCCTTAAACCCAAGACCCTAAACCCCTAAATCCTAAACCCTGAACCATAAACCCTAAACCCTGAACCATAAACCTTAAACCTTGAACCATAAACCCTGAACCCCTAAACCCTAACCCATAAACCCCAAACCCTAAACCCCAAACCCCTAAACCCCTGAATCCTAAACCCCTAAACCCTGAACCCCTAAATCCTAAACCCTAAGCCCTAAACCCCTGAACCCTAAACCCCTAAGCCCTGAACCATAAACCCCAAACATCTAACCCCTAAACCCTAAACTCTGAACCATAAATAGTGGAAACTGTTGAAGATCGGAGATCTGGGGTCATCATTTTCGCAAACTTGGGATTTCTAAAATGTTGCACCCACGGTTCGGTGTATAAATTACATGCAGGGCTTAGTTTAGTGTCTTTCAAGGATCAAGAGCTTCATGAGGTTTAGGATTTAAGATTGGCACTTTAAACTTGTTTACTTCAGCAGACCCTAAACTCAAAATAAGCAACCGCCTCAGGGAACTAGCTCGATAGGCCCCCAAGGCGAAACTTTAGGCTGTAAACTCTGACCTCTGTAATGCTATCAAAGGAAACGCAACAGTGTCAAGGTTTAGCTTTGACAGAACAGAAGCTGTGCACTCTGTTGCACCGTCTGTAATGAGCCAGTAACCAAATAACTAAACAAGTTTGTACATATATATATATATATATATAGAGAGAGAGAGTATATAGAATCATATTCATTTACATGTACATATTCATAGACGTATACATATACATAAGCAAATACACATGCATATGCATATATATATATATATTCATATATACATGTTCGTCTCCATTTAAAAATCATATCCAAAAACAAAAAACATATGCAAATACGAGTATACATATATATATATATATATACATACATTTATTTATCTATGTATTTCTTTGTTTGTTTGTTTGTTTGTTTGTTTGTTTGTTTGTTTGGTTGTTTGTTTGTTTGTTTGTTTGTTTGTTTGTTCGTTTGTTTGTTTGAAATTAGTAGATGTACATATGAAGGCATATACATATTCAGATGTGCATATATGTTCAATTCGTTTTCATGTTCATATTAGAAACACATGCTTGCAACAACTGTCTGTAAATACACCTATGTAGACACAACCACTAAAGTTGAAACAAACAAGGGCTGTCGTATATCAACAAACAGTAAACATAGACACCCTGCACATCCCCTGAACCGTAAACCCCAAGCCATAAACAAACTACACTGAGCCGGCCTTGATCGTGGTGGTCTGGCCACTCAGCAGCGACACATGGACGGAGACGGCCATGGAAGGCCCTAAACGGCCCTAAACCCTCAATCCGCAAATCGTAAACCCGATAAGCCTGGAACGGCCCGAGCCCTAGGGTTTCGGATTCAGTCGGTTCTGGACTCTCAGTAATAAGGATAAACCCCGTATCAGGGAAGCCCCAGGCCCCAGAACATGGGGCTCGATCCAGCGAACTGCGCGTCATGAAGGACCCTGAAGTCTCCGTGACGACGGCATAGGTGCCAACACAAGGAAATC